ATTGCAGGGAGATACACACAGAATCATAGAATGGTTTCGGTTGGACCTAGTTCCCCCCCCCTGCCATAGGCAGGGACGCCTCCCACCAGCCCAGGTTGCTCCAAGCCCTGTCCAACCTGGCCTTGAACACCTCCAGGGATGGGGCAGCCACAGCTTCTCTGGGCAACCTGCGCCAGTGCCTCACCAACCTTAAAGTGAAAAATTTCCTGATATCTAATCTAAATCCTCCCTCTCTCACTTTAAAGCCATTCCCCCTCGTCCTATCACTACACGTCCTTGTAAGAAGTCCCTCTCCAGCTTTCTTGTAGGCCCCCTTCAGATACTGGAAAGCTGCTGTAGGGTTTCCCTGGAGCCTTCTCTTCTCCAGGCTGGACAACCCCAACTATCTCAGCCTGTCCTCACAGCAGAGGTGCTCCAACACTCTGATCATAGAAGGGTTTAGGTTGGAAGGGACCTTGAAGATCATCGAGTTCCAACCCCCCTGCCATGGGCAGGGACACCTCCCACTAGACCAGGTTGCCCAAGGCCACGTCCAGCCTGGCCTTAAACACCTCCAGGGATGGGGCCTCAACAACCTCTCTGGGCAACCTCTTCCAGTGCCTCACCACCCTCAAAGTGAAAAATTTCTTCCTAATGTTTAACTAAACCTGCCCTCTTCCAGTTTAATGCCATTGATCATCTTTGTGGCCCTCCTCTGGACCTGCTCCAACAGGTCCATGTCCTTCTTGTGTTGGGGGCTCCGTTCAAGGTTTTCAACCTTTCTTGAGTTAGGCTCCCTTAGGAAATTTTCACAAAACAGCAAGCGCCACTACTTCGCTAACCTCACCCAACCGGCCGAGCGCTGACCTTCCCAAAATACATCTTGGTTAATTTGTCTGGTCTGTGATAGCACACAGGTCAAACCATACTTGGCCTGCCTCAAGTCTTCTCCGCAGAGACTAGCCAAACAGAGGAAGATATGCTATTTCTAAGCTATAGCATAAGTTGCTTTTTCTTTGCCCACAATACGTTTCTTTGCCGAGACCCCCTGAGTAGACAGGCTGCCTTTCAGGACTAACACGTGTCATTCGAGTTCAAGCTTCAGCAAGTGATAGCTACCAAGATAGTATTAGCTTTGAAATATACAATAGAAGAACTTCAGACATATTACCTGATGTGATAAAGTATCTTCACGATTTGCAGGGGCTTTTATCATTGCTCTGTTAGGTTCAGGTATGTATAGGAAAAAAAAAAGGTCCAGTTTAGACTGCAGCATTTAAAGCAAGTTGGGCTTTTACATGAAACCTGTGCTTTTTTTTTTTCCCAGTCTGAGGTGGCAATGTCAAAGACTTGGAGAACTACTGGAGATGAGACCTTTTAATAAAAGAAATATGTATGCAGGTAAGAGGGAGAAAGAACTCTAAGCCCTTAACTTGCTGGTGCGGCAATTGCTGCAGCTTTGTCCCAAGAGACTGGTCGGGTTTCAGGGGAGACCGAACAGGGTGCAGCTCAGCCCAGCTGAGTCTAAAGAATAAAAACCCAGATTAAGACTCCTAGAATCAGCTCTGCTGCAGGCAGAAATGGTACAAGCCACAGAAGTACCAAACTGCTCATTTTTAGCTATGAATTCAGCCAAACGGTAGTGGTGTCCTTCAAGTTGAAGTTAGAGGCATTTAAGTGAAGAAAAAGTCTTCAAAGTTAGCAAACGCCATCTTCTTTACAAAGGCCCACTTCAGCTCTAAACAAACATCTAAAATGGAAAATCCTTGGATAAATTCAGGGAAGAATGTGGCATTTCACTTATCGCCCTTCTGTACCAGTTTCAGGACTTGTCAGTACCACACTACCATTTCTGGATGTGTAGATTAGTTAATGCTTGGCAGGGAAACACAGGTAAAACTAGTTTAAATACAGAGGTATTATCAATATGCTTTCTAGCAATCAACAGGTATGAACGCACAACAGCATGCAGAAGACTACTAAAGAATCTGTAGCTACCATGGCTGATAATTAACTGTATTTGGATTCAGGCTGCTTACGCAACAGAATAAAGTAATATAAAGCAACTACAGGAAACCCATATTAATCTTCTGTACTATTCTAGACCTGCCAGAACTCCAGAGTCCAAAAAAAATATGCAGTAACTGCTGGAGATTGCACGATAGCCTTATAATATAGATAGCAAATATTATTAAGTTGCTCATTTTGCGTTCAAACCAGTAAACTTTCTATTAGGTGTACTTTTGTTTTGCTTAAAGTTTGGTTTGATTAAATGATTATTTTGTCAAGATTAATCAAACCGGTCCACAGGACGATGATCCAGAAACACTCTTGCTCTGATATCGTTCCTTTTAAATAGTGTATGGGGACCTTTTGCTGCTGATGAGCTTGCATTACTTCAAAACTGAAAGGCAAAAAGCAAAAACTTAGAAGGGCACCATATTTTCGTGAGCTTCAAGAAAACAAAATGTAACCTGTGCTGAATTAGGATGTAGCATTAATTTTCACAAAGAGGAAGCAGTTTCCTGTATGTGTAGTTACACATACTTCTCCCAACTTCCAAAGTGTTTGTATATATCTTGAAGATGAACAGGTTTACCAGTGTTTACTTTCCATTTTCACTTCACTAGTGAGGTTCGTCCCTTTGCGAAAAGAAACTCAACATTAAGAAGCAACATTAGAGTTCTCTACTTACCTTTCTGATTTCATACTAGCATCTTATACGCATCTTCAGCAATTACCATTGATCATCTATGAAAATGGATCGGGGTTTGGTTAAAAAAGGCAGTGAAATGCTAATAACCAGATAACATAAAACCTTCTCTCACGTACGTTTTAACAACAAATTAGCCAGTGTATTGAGAAAGGCAATTTCAGATGTGCCCATATATATTTGAGGCACACTGCTAACCTGCTTGTGAACTGAATTGTTTCTGCATTTGAGCAACTTCATGCGCTAGGCAAGCAAGTGCTGTTTCCCCAGCAATATCTTCACTGGAAACCTTGAGAATTCATATTGCTTAATAGAAGGGCCATTAGCATAAAAAAAAAAGCATCCCTGCATTAGAGATATTTATCTGGACCGCTTTCAGAATCTAAAATTTTCTTTCTGTAACACCACAACATACGCTTCCTACTTTAGCAATTATTCCAGAGGAACAATTATATAAGGCTCCCAGCTTTCTCCTCTGCCTTGGAAAAAGTTTTCTTGATTTAGCCAGCAGAAATTCGAGCAATACTTTTCAAGATAAATTAGTAATGTTAATAGTTACAATTTCACTTCTACTTCACTGCAACTTCAGTGTTTACTTAAGTAATGTTTGTTTTTTAATACTAGGGAGCATCGCCATTTTAGGTAGACATTAGATGTTGATACAATCCCCAGCTCAAGGCTTCCAACCAGTCTTCTCAAGAAGGAAATTTAAGAATCATTAAGCCATAACAAATAGAAAAAGGAGTAAAATGCACAGAGGCAGACTTACAACGCTTGTCTCCAACAGCTGGCCTGATCATTCTCCATCAGTAGCCATGATCTAGCCCCCTCAAGAAGCCTATCTTTGCAAGCTCTGATTAGCCACTAGGCCTGGAAAGCAAGATAGGGCCTGGGGATAAGGTTTACCTTCTCTCCTGCCCTGCTGATGGTCAGAGCCCTTACAGTAGTTTCCTGCAAGCGCTGTCTGCTTCCTGTGGCACGGGTGTGCCCAGTGGAGCTAGTCCACTTAATAAACCTACAATTTTAGAGCAAAAACTCAAAACACTGGCTTTACGCTCCCCTGCCATATGTTAACTAGTGTTACTTGCAAATGCTAAATCCTGTTAAGGAATCAGATCATAACTGTGGAAACAGGCTCGGTATTTTGCATAGCTTATAATATTTACAGCCCAGCGCATCAATTCATACCATCTGGCCCGACAGCACTGAGGCTTTCTTTATACCAAGCGCAGTGCATCCTGCCTCCAGCCCCGGCCGTCACAGCCCTCTCGTGGAGATGCAGGAGGGAGTTTTGATGGCATTCATCCATCGTGGCTTGCTTTTGCTTATCTGCCTTCTGGGCTGCTCTCAACTCAGCACAACTCCTTTTCAGTCAGGCTTGGCCAGAGATGGTGTCACTTTTCCCTCTGCGCTGTCAAGGGAGACCATCGCAGGAAAGAGCAGAGACCTAGGGGGACTTCTGAGCTCTTCCAGCCCACCTAGAGATAACCTACAGCCCCGCAGAACTGCTCTACCTGCCTTGCCAAGCTTGCCAGGGCACAGGCAGTCTCAAGGAAGAACATTGTTAAGCAGAAACCCTTTGTGCAAGATTTGGTACACCACTCACTCCTCCTCGATTAGCATCTCCCATTGCAAAGGGACAGAAACAGCCGCTTTTTCATTTCCCCACCACCACCACCTCCAAGGTGTAGGGGTGAGGAAGTTCACTTTTAACTGTCACCAAAGTGGTAGTGTTTAGACACTACCAGCATACTTCAGGACAACACTTATTTAGCCTGTGAAAAACCTGCTGGGATTTGTCTACTGGCTTTGTGCCAGTCACGCTTATGTTTGTTTTCTCTTTTTTTTATTAGCTATCAAAACTTTTATTGAAAGCTTTGGCCTTCAGGCTTTTTAGATAGGTGCCCAAGTCCAAGAACTATGGCGCTGTGCCTAAACCCAGGTGTGGCCACACATGTACCCAAATACCACTTAAAGAAAAGCAAACTTTACATCCCAGAGAATACCAGTTTCGTTCCAGCTCTCTAGAGATCTATTAGGGTGAAGATTTCATCACATCTGCAGTTTCTGTTCCCCGAGATGTCAATATCCCCTCCTCTCAAGGGATCCTTATACCACTTCAAGGCTTATGTAGGCAGTGACAACACACAAACAGTCGAGGAAATAGGTTCAGCAATAGAGAGACCATCTAATCAATAAAGACCACACCAGGATGTTTGACAGAAACGCAACACCACCACTAAGAATATCCAAAGCTGCTTACACACCATAATTCTATCATATCCAAAAAACTGACTCTCAAGTGTAAAGTCACAGAGACAAGAGTTTAATATTGACCAAAAAAAAAAAAAAGCTTAAGTTAGTGGTATTTTCTTCCTTGAAATAACATACCGGTCACATGAAAGTCACTGAAGAGGTCTGCTTTTAGCTCGGAAGACTTTTACAGTTACAGCTGAATTCAAAAACCCTAAATCCAAATGTGTGATGGTAACACAAAAAAACTGAAAACTTAAGACCTGGGATAAAGAACAAATTCAGTTGTTAAGATTCTAGCAGTTACGTGAGGCCTTTCAATGCCTTTACCATAACACGAGAAGTTCTTCAGTATCTTTCCCACCACCATTATTTCAAGATTCACAAGTTTGTTTTTTTTTTTTTTTAAAAATACTAATGGGGTTAAATTGAAACCAAGCGCCATATGCTTGTAATGTCTTCTGTGAAGGTCTGAAGCCACCCTGTTTCAACTATTTGGTTATTCAGTGCAGAAAGTTAAAGATCACAGAAGGTATAACAGCTTTTAATACTCCATTAATATTATAGATTAAAAATTATTGCATAGTCTTATGCATTTCCTAAAACAGCGTTCTCTGGAAATTAAACATTTTAATATAAAAGGAGCAACTCTTTAAAACATGAATTGCTTTCACTACCTCGATCTTCTATCCTTTTTTGATTTGTCAGTACATTTGTCCATTGTTTTCTCATTGTCTCCTCTGCACTTGGGGCAATACCATTTCCCCTTTGGTTTGTAGGTGAGTCCAACACACGAAAAGTGGAACCACTCGATAGGACACTGTTCGTTATCACATCCTATCATTTCGCCATAAGACACTTGGTTGCATAAACAGTAAGTTGGTTCATTGGGATCAATTGCAAATTCTACAGGTGAAACCTCTCTCTCTTGTTTGGCTTTGGAGCGTTTTTTCTTCTTGGAAGATTTAGATCTTTTTTCTTTAGGTGGCTGATCATCGCAGTCATCAATACCATTTGCTATATGGCACAGATCACGGCTTTCACTGGTTCGCTGGCGACGAGGTCTACGTGAAGATCTCTCTGGCTGGCAGGACTCCATCTTTGCCTTTTCTAGAGGCTTTTCACTCTCAGACAGATCTTGAAAGCATTGAGAGTGCGTTTCCATTTGCCGGGCTCTATTCTCTACCAGTTCTAGCATCTGAGTAACTATTTGAATTTTTTCGTCTCCAAGTTCTTGGCTGTTGATTAACGCACGCTGAAGATGCTGCTGCAAGCGCTTCTTCTGAACGGGATCATTTTCTGCCTTGTATTTTTCATAGACATCGTCTATTTCTTTTAGTGCTTCTATAAAATAAAGGCAATAGGAATAATTACACAAGATGGAACACACTCAAGAAAATACAGAAATATATTTCTAACTGATGAGAAATAGTACAAATTTTAATTATAGTATACCTTAGTGGGCTAGATCAGATATTTTATTCAAGTTGCATGTGGTCATCAACTCAGTGTTTAAGATCACAATCTGTTGCAAGAAAAAAATTCTCAAGTTCTAAGAAAAAGCAAGCTTATTTTAACTATTGAAGAAAGAAAGGATAACCTGAGAAAGGGGACCATAGCTGCTGGAGTGTGGATAGTCCAGATCCTGCCTCCGTCTGACAAAGCAGGAATCTCTGTTGAGAGTCCTTAACGCAGTAGTTAAAGCCCTGGCCTAAAAACCACAGCAATAGCTTATCATATCACAGGGAGAAACTTAGAATTCATATAATGATTATATATCACGATATGTAACACTCCAAAATTAGGATATCCAGGTCCTTGTCCCCCCTTCTTGTTCATCTAAAGGTTTGGTATTACACTTTCCAGCAGACACAGTTCTAAAAGGATTATGACAACTGAAGTTACACCATAGCAAATTTATAACCAGGACTTAAATCAACTTAAACCACTCCAAATGCTTTTTCTATTACCAAGCCAAATTACATCAAGTTGCATTTTAAATCGAGGCTGAACTTTTCAGAATAGGTGACCTACTGTTTAGTGCATCACAGGATATTTTTAAGCTACTAGTAATGAGTGGCTCACAGTTTGACTTCTAAGCTTTTTTTCCTTCTTGCCAGTCATGCAAAATAACTGGATGAGTTGCTGTGAATCTTTCATAAAATTTAGTTCTTAGTTGATTTCATTAAACTTGCTACTATGAGATTAACAAGTGCCTTAGAAGCCAGTCAGTTTGTACTCTGTTGTGCTATATTGCTGTATTTGAGAACAATATTTTCCAGACCAAAAGGTAAACTAGATCTATACATAAAAGACAGAAATTGCTACTGTGGAAGGAAACAGATTAGTAGAACTGACAGTGAAACCTGATGTACGGTGTTAGATACAGTACTGGCTCCTTCAGAAACAATTTAAGGATTTTATTTGAACAGGCAAGGGAAATTATGAATGATATTATTTACTTCTAAAGTGAAAAGATATGCAGTGCAATCTATCTCTTCCTAAAGACCTGTGTTTCACAAACTGGCTTTCGTTTTTAAAGAATTTGTCTGCATTGTACAGTTGTGAAATGATTCAAGCTTGTGCTAAATGGAAGCCATAGATATTATCTCAACATTGTTCACAGTGATTTTTTTTTTCCTGCTGACATCTTGAAACAGTAGCTTAAGCGTGAACAGCCACTTTTTACTATAAATTCTGAAACCTGTATGACAACAGGAGCCAACAGCATTTTGTTCTGTTCCAGACTTTCACTAGGGGAAGATAAAAATCACTACTCTCAATACTAGCATTCCAACTACCATTAAAAACACAAGCTTTGTTTCCCTGCATCTTCTGCTGCATCTCATGCCTGTTGCCCTGCCAGGGGAAGGAGGGAAAGATTAACAAAAAAAAAATCTTACTCCTGAAAAGCATGGAGAAAGATAGTCCACATGGTGTTGAACCAGAAAGGCATAACCACAGCACAATATTCTGCAGCCACGTTATCTCCCACTCAGCATTTTTTTTTTTGGGGGGTGGGGGGGGTATAGGTGTAGTTACACAGATTTCCCATATTGAGAATGCCCTGCCCAGAAGAACCCACAAGAAATAGCTGTTCGCTTTTTCACACCGTGACAGAGAACAACCTTCACCTTATGTTGATTATTCCCTGGGTGCAGTCCATGAAGATATGCTGAAGACTTTAAATGGATCACCATCCATTAAAAAGAGGAAAGAACTTTTGGACTGAGAGATGCAAATTCACCAAACTCCTTGTTGGTCCCCAAGATCAGAAAAGGGCATCCATACCCAGAACTAAATAGCTCTGAACCCCCTGATAAAAAAAGCACGACAAAAACCCCAACACAAACCACAGCCAAGTGTTCATTACAGATAATCTGATTAAGTTTAGTGGAGCTAATAAAAGCTAAAAGGATTTCAGTTTTTAAGCATAGGAGTGGCTTTGTCCCTCCTGCATGAACTATCACTACCTTTTAAATTAGCTGAGATTATATAGCACTGCTTTTAAGTCTTTGGTCCTGGGCCTAAAATTATTTTTATCCAATTTTTAGGGTTTGGGGTTTTTAGCTTTTTTTTTTTTTAACAGTTGAAGCCTTTGGTAAAACTAGCAACAAACTCCTGCTTTGGCCCAGTACTGTATTAGGGGCTGGAGGAATACATATAGGAGATACAGCCTAAATACAAGACTGAATCTACTCACAGCAGATGCGGAGCGTTGGCTAGTTACCACAGACCAAGCGAGTGCCTGCCAGCCAGGCCAGCCTTGACCAAAATTCAAAACGCTGCAGACAAGACTAAAGGTAGACTTTGAAACCACAGAAAACTTACAAAAGCCTCTTCTTATGTATCTTCCTGGGTAATTAGAAAGATAATTGAAAGAATCTCGTTTACAATAGCTGTCGTCTGGGGTGGCCTGAAAGGCCTTAACCCTCCCCTCTGACCCGTGCTGGAGAAAGCCCACCATGAGGATGGGAGACACGGCTCCAGCTACCACTCCACGGGACCAAACCCCCCCCAATCCTGCCGTGGGCCCGCGCCTCTCTTCCCACAGTTCAAGCCAGAATCATAGCATGGTTTGGGCTGGAAGGAACCTTAGAGATCATCTAGTCCAACCCCCCTGCCCTGGGCAGGGACACCTCCCACCAGCCCAGGTTGCTCCAAGCCCCGTCCAACCTGGCCTTGAACACCTCCAGGGATGGGGCAGCCACAGCTTCTCTGGGCAACCTGGGACACCACCCTCACAGTCAAGAATTTATTCCTAACATCTCATCTAAATCTCCCCTTTTCCAGTTTAAAACTGTTACCCCTCATCCTATCGCTCCACTCCCTGATCACGAGTCCCTCCCCAGCTTTCCTGGAGCCCCTTTAGGCACTGGAAGGGGCTCTAAGGTCTTCCCGGAGCCTCCTCTTCTCCAGGCTGAACAACCCCAACCTCTGCCGGTCCCCACAGCAGAGGGGCCCCAGCCCTCTGAAGGCTCTCCAGGAGTAGGTCCCACCTTAGGGCTCGGGGGGAGGGCAGTAATTAGGCGACACCGCAGCTGTGTAGCCCAGGAGCGCGGGGTGGGACGGATTTAATCGATATTTAACCCGCATTTCGGAAGAAGCCGCCTCTTTGGCCGAAGTTCAGGCCAACTTCCCGCTCTGTGGACCCTCCCCACGACCACGCTGCCAACGCTTTATCCACCTCCGCCCCCCC